AAATCAAGAAATTAACTTACATGGCAAATTCTCTCACATACGGTCTTCAGTGACCTGATTCGGTTGCTGCACTTGAGCGTCAGTTCACACGGCACAGAAAAGGGTTCCTGACTCTCAGATGGGTGGAGACCACGGAGGCCTTCGCACACAGTCAGGCCGTCTCTTCACCGTCCTGCAGATACGCGCTCAGTTAGACGGGCTGGAGCTTGACAATTCCCTTTATTTAAAAATGTTACGTGGTACTTGCAGATCCAATGGTGTTCTTGATTATTTTATTCTGTGTATTTGTCCATGCATGTGTGTTCCTAATTTACATGAAAATATGAGTTAGGGATGGAGAAATTCCCAGCTGAATGTTGAAATGCCTGTGGTAGGATTTGAAGAAATGGTAATTCCGGATTGGGCTGGGGCGGGCGTCAGTGTCAGCTTTAAGGGTGTTATAATGTATCGCCTGTGGCAGAGGCCTGGGTGTTGGCATAAACATCTGGCCCAGGAGATGAAGACCATAAAGCAAGCTAGGAATTCGGCACTGAAATTCCCATCTGCCTCGCCGAGTAATAGTACAAGCAAACCTCGTCTTTCAGGAACAGAATCGAGGGCCTCTTAATCTCTCGCTTCTATACAATGAACCAAAAAGCTGGATGAGCGTGGTTATCGGTTGGGGAGGAAACCGCTGTATGTCCCAGTGTGTCCCTTACAGCTGCCTCCAGCCAAACACTGTTTGCAGAAACGCGGCCTCTGCTGGGTTTTGTTTGACTTCCTCCCTTTGTTAACTCTGTCTGGGCAATGACGTGTTAAAAAAATATTGTGGAAAGGACACATGGTTACATAAGAGAAGAAAGTGAGTGCTGTAGTTAAAGCACATGATGCTGCACAGCGCTGCCATATTCCATGCCTTTGGGTTGTGTTACTCCTGTAAAGTGAGTCAGTGAGAATGGCATCCAGCCGCCGCGCTGCCATGGTTACGCCGAAGGTTCCCAGGCCGACGGCTGTCACATTTCCTGTTTTGTCTCCAGATGTCCAGGTGGCACCTGAGGGAAGTGTCAGGACCCCCGTAGCCAGGTTGCTCAGTTTCTCACTGGTGGTCACACTCCAGTGGCTCTGAAGGGGAAAGTACAGCTCGGGCCTGGTCAGGGCCGTGGCCATTGCCTCCACGGTCACCGTGTGCGTCGCCTGCGCGGGGAGGAATGAGCTGACTGGCGTTTTTCTGCGGTTGAATTAAGAGACACCTTTCTCTTGCCTTTGGGTTGAGGAGACGGTACTAAGATGCTGGGTGCTGGGGGAACGCAGAGGGAGGGGGGGATGGACTTGGCTTCCTCGGGGGCCTCCTCCTAGAGTGTGACGGTGCCGATGTCCCATCAGTTCACACGCACCTGACCGTGAACACATTATCTCCTTCAGCAACTACCAATTGTCAATCACTTAAGCCAACAACACAGTGTAGCAGTTGTAAGTTCAATGATGTTAAGTATTGTATAGAAATATATTGGAGGCAAAGTTCAGTTGATGACAATTGTGTATATGTTATTGATGCTGTAAATTATTTTTAATAAAGAAAATTGTATTATCACCTGTTTGACTCTAATAATAAAATATTTTGTGGTGACTGAAAACAAAACACCTAACACAGAGAAATAGGGTGGCATCTAGAATTTTCTCTTCAAACAGTGGGGCGTGCAGGAGGCAGCTGATCGATGATTCTCATCATTGATGTTTCTCTCTCCCTTCCTCTTTGAAATCAATAAAAATATACTTAAAAAAAAGAATAGGGCCCTGACCAGTTTGGCTCAGTGGCTAGAGCAGGGGTGGGCAAACTTTTTGACTCGAGGGCCACAATGGGTTCTTAAACTGGACCAGAGGGCCGGAACAAAAGCATGGATGGAGTGTTTGTGTGAACTAATATAAATTCAAAGTAAACATCATTACATAAAAGGGTACGGTCTTTTTTTTTTTTTTTTTTTTTAGTTTTATTCATTTCAAACGGGCCGGATCTGGCCCGTGGGCCGTAGTTTGCCCACGGCTGGGCTAGAGCGTCGGCCTGCGGACTGAAGGGTCCCAGGTTCGATTCCGGTCAAGGGCGTGTACCTTGGTTGTGGGCACATCCCCAGTAGGAGGTGTGCAGGTGGCAGCTGATGGATTTTTCTAACTCTATCCGTCTCCCTTCCTCTCTGTAAAAAATCAATAAAATATATATTTTTTAAAAGAATAGGACAAAATGAACATAGTGAGGGTGGAGAACTCATGAGCTGCCTGAGGGACAGGTATGCAGGTGCCCTAATGAGGCCAAACAGGAGTCAGATTCTGGCCACAGAAAACCGAATCAGAGCTGGTGTTTCACAGCCTAAAGGGATGAGATGTGTTGAGACTGGGGCTGTGGGAAGCTGCTACTTGGAGATAAGAACCAAATCTAACGGGAAAGGCCCGCCCTCAGCAGAGGTTTGGGGCACATCCGGGGCAATCACGGGGGCGGCAGATAACCGAGGGCGCTACACGCTGATGGAAAAAAAGAATAAAAGCATGAGGGGTGGGGGCTGTGCATTCACAAAAAACAAGGCTCCAGCTGCCTGCGTGGAGGGTGGCGAGATCCCCCTCGGAAGCCCTGTGTGGGCTGCAGGAGTGCACCCAGCTGTCCATCAGAGCCTGGTTGCCCTGGACAACGAAGGTTACCAACTGTTCGCACAGCCTCCTGAAAATCACGTGTTCCCGCACTTTCCCGCGGGGAGAGAACCCGACGATCCTACAGCTTCTGACCCAACTACTGACCCGCCCCCTGGGAACCCTCCCCGCCTCCTTCCCATCCGTTATAATGAAGTCAGTGGCGTGGGAAGAGAGCAGGAAACGGGGTGCTGTGTGTCTGGCCGAGGCCCCGCGCCCCCTGCAGCTCCCCATCGGCACCCGGACTGTGCACACCTACCAGGATTGCGCCACCCGCGATCCTGGGAGCTGGGTCTGTGCAGAACGCAGCCAGCCCGACCGCCGGGACCTCCCATCGGACCTGCAGCTCCGGGGACGCGGGTCCGAAGGCGGCCTGCGGGGTGCGTGCTGCCCGCAGGAAGGGGAGGAAGGAGAAAGGGTGCGAGTCGCGCCCAGACACCGACGATCCCTAGAAAAAACGGTCCTTGAAAACCTCCTACCGGGACTGTGCACACCAGGCGGTGCAACTCCATAGCCGGAAGCAGCCAGCTCAGAGCTGCTCGCCGGGGGGCGGGGCAGGATACCGACGAGCCAATCAGAAACAAGAAGCCCCGTTACGCGAAGAGGCATCCAGATTTTGACTGACGTGAGCACCGAGAGGAGGCGGGGTCAGATTGCAGAGAGCTAATCAGAAGCCTAATCTCATCCTGAATATTCTAGATAGCGCGGGGCGGGGCCTCGCCTTCCCTTCGGCTGCGCTGATTGGCGGCGGGGTTCTCTCAAGGAGCCAATCAGAAGTCAGGAGTCGCGGGCTCGGAGCGGGGGCGGGCCGAGGTGCTGCAGGTCAGTCGCTGCCACGCCGCGCGAGACCTGACCGCGCGAGACCTCGCAGCGCGACCGTCCGCCCTCAGCCCGGGCTGCTGGACAGCGGACGCCGCCTCGGACCGCGGGTCGTGCACGGTGAGCGGGCGGGATAGCGGCCGGGGTAGGGGGGCCGCCCCGAGCGCAGAGAGGCTCCCCGCGGGCTGGAGGGGTCGGTGCGTCGGGCTCAGAGGCCGCCGGTGCGTGACCGCTGCCCCCTCCTCCCTGACCCCAGAGCTGGAGCGCGGACACCCCACGAGGGTGCGGTCCGCTGGACTCAGGTGCCCCCTGCAACCCGCTGCGCCCCCGACGCCCCACCCTGCCCAGCGGGAGCCCCTCGGAGCGCCCAGCAGTGAGTACATCGCTGTCCTTGAAAACCAGACTCGACTTGCCCTGCCTTTCTGTGCCCCGACCCCCTTTGGGGTAAAGGCCGGGGAGCCTCTGGGTTTTTAAATTTAATTTATTTATATTTTTAAATATATTTTTATGGATTTCAGACGGGAAGGGAGAGGGAGAGAGAGATAGAAACATCCACGATGAGAGAGAATCATGGATCGGCCGCCTCCTGCACGCCCCACACTGGGATGGAGCCCGCCACCCGGGCATGAGCCCTGAGCGGGAATCGAACCCTGACCTCCTGGTTCCTAGGTCGAGGCTCAATCACGCCTGGCCGGGGTCGGGGAGCCCCTGGCGAGGAGGCAGCCCCTTCTTTCCCGGGTTCCCCCGGGGCCAGGTGCTGGGGTGCAGCCTGGGAGGGATGGCAGGTGCCAGGGTAGAGCTTCCTGGACTTTGTGACGCGTGGGGAGCGAAGGGGAGGGAAGGGTGAATCCGGGGTCCCCTGCACAGTGTGGAGTGCAAGGGCCGGCCCCCTGGCTGCAGGGCAAAGGTGGTGAGATTCTGGCAGGAGGCCTGGCGCTGGCACTTTCTCGGGGGGCTGGGTAAGACCCCGTTGGCGGGGGGCACAGACCAGCTGCCTGTGGGATTCCGAGTCCCTTCTTCGCCTCCTCCACACACTCAGGAGACGTTTGGTTAAACGCCTGTCTTGGTGTTTATTTACTTTCCGGAACTGGCTTGATCTGGGCGGTTAGTTCCATAGTTTGGGGTCCTTCTATACAGAGAAAAAAAAATGCAAATTTTCCCTGGCCGGTTTGGCTCAGTGGATAGAGCGTCGGCCTGCGGACTGAAGGGTCCCGGGTTCGATTCCGGTCAAGAGCATGTACCTTGGTTGCGGGCACATCCCCAGTAGGGAGTGTGCAGGAGGCAGCTGATCGATGTTTCTAACTATCCCTCTCCTTTCCTCTGTGAAAAATCAATAAATATATTTTTAAATGCAAATTTAAGTTTAAAAAGAAAGAATTTTAGAAGCATAGAATGAATGGTAGAGCTACAAGGGGTGATCGAGTCCAACTCCCCAAAAGAGATGAGGTAGCAAAGCAGGGACTAAATTATGTTTTATTTCTCGCAGTGTAACAACTTTTTTTTGCTCCATATTTTAAAATCTATTTTTATTGATTTCAGAGAGGAAGGGAGAGGCGGGGGAAGAGAGATAGAAACATCAATGATGAGAGAGAATCATGGATCGGCTGCTTCCTGCACGCCCCCTACAAGGGATCAAGCCTGCAACCCGGGCATGTGCCCTTGACTGGAATCGAATCCAGGACCCCTCAGTCCATAGGCTGTCACTCTATCCACTGAGCCAAACTAGCCAGGGCCGTTTTTTTCCATTGTGATAAAATACACTTAACCAGCGTGACAACTTTTATTACACTAGTCTGTCTTTATTTTGAATGCTCTAATAATTCTTTTTTTTTTAAGTTTCTCTTTATTTTTATTTTTTTATATTTTATTGATTTTTTACAGAGAAGAAGGGAGAGGGATAGAGAGTTAGAAACATCGATGAGAGAGAAACATTGATCAGCTGCCTCCTGCACACTCCCTACTGGGGATGTGCCTGCAACCAAGGTACATGCCCTTGACCGGAATCGAACCTGGGACCTTTCAGTCCGCAGGCCGATGCTCTATCCACTGAGCCAAACCGGTTAGGGCTCTTTTTTTTTTTTTTTAAGTATGTTTGTTTTTATTGATTTCATAGAGGAAGGGAGAAGGAGAGAGAAATAGTAACATCAATGATGAGAAGAATCAAGGATTGGCCGGCTCCTGCATGCCCCCTACTGGGGATCGAGCCTGAAAACCCAGCATATGCCCCGATGGGGAATTGAACCATGACCTCCTGGTTGATGAGTCTTGCGTGAGCCACTGAACCGGGCACCAGGCTGTCTTTTGATGGCTAGAGCGGCCAGCATTGCTTTACACTCATTTAGAAAACAGGACTGTTCGAGCGGAGGCTTCACAAGCCCCATTCAAGGATGTTATAGGAACATTAGAGGCTCGGTGCACGAATTTGTGCACCAGTGGGGTCCCTCGGCCTGGCCTGCAGGATCGGGCCGAAAAGGGCTCTCAGACATCCCCCGAGGGGTCCTGGATTGGGAGAGGGCGCAGGCCAGGCCGAGGGACCCCACCGGTGCACGATCGGGGCTGGGGAGGGACACAGGAGGTTGGCCAGCCGGGGAGGGACCCTGGGAGGGCTCCAGGGCGTGTCTGGCCCATCTCCCTCAGTCCCCGATCGGCCGGACCCCAGCAGCAAGCTAACCCACCAGAAGAAGCACCTGCCCCCTGGTGGTCAATGCACGTCATAGCGACTGGTCGACCGATCGACTGTCTGCCCCCTGGTGGTCAGTGCACGTCATAGCGAGTGGTT